GCAGGTTAGGTAGTGTGGTGACAATGGATGTTTTGAAGAGAAAGTTCCCATCTACGAAAAGTTGCTGATCGTGGGCGTGCATGGTCGTGGGCGTTTTGGGTTTAAGAAGAGTTCGGTGGCAGAAGTGGACCAGCAACGTGTTCATGATGCACAAGCGGATGAGTGCCCCCATGGAGTTTGGGCTACACTGTGGGCTGATGCACAGTTTGTAGTGTGCAGAGAAGCTTCTCTGAGCTGTAGGTTGAGATCTGGCAACTTTGTAGTACACATGAAATGTAGTATGAAAGGAGTAGCTTCTGGAACCTTTGGGTTTTGAGGTAGCCAACTTTTACTGTAATACGAATGCAGTAGGTAGGAGATTCGGGATGAGGGTTTCTGTCACCACGTTGAGGTCACCACTTGACCATAGCACCTATCTACAACACCTCACAAGTCACAACGCTACACTTTACCACATCAAACAGCTGCAACAGACTTCATACATATGACCAAGCAGCATCATATGACCAGCATCATGATTTCGCTCATCCAGCTATCATGCACACACACACACACACGTCACACTCCTGTAGTCGATGGTTTGATGCAGAAGGTCCTGCGGAACTGTACAAGTTTCCAGGTATCAGATAACATACAAACTGCAGATGGCAATTAGTCACCAATTTGCCCTAAACTTCAGTTTTTGAAGACTTCATCACATTATCAACGGTACACCAAAGTGCAGCTGGCAAAGACATGCAACGGCATGGTGCTCGCTTGTACACACTGACAACGCATCGCTCGGACATGCGCATGTTGGAAGACAAGCAAGCCTGCAGCATAAAAAGTGGCTGCGCCGGCACCCTCCGAATTGTGCAATGATGCTGTGTTCGGAAAGAGCCTTTAAAACGTAGCATACCTTTTTCTGAGCCACCCGAGAGCCAAATCTACAGGAGGAAGGAGCCACTCCGGGTCCCCCCAAGCGGAAGGTCCAAGGGCTGCGGAATCACTGCAGTTGTGCGGTCATTCGCCGCTGCACCACTCGCCGGAGCTGTTGAAGCTTCTTTGGGCCAACTGCTGCTCCCCGGGGGCAAAGGTGAATCTTTGATTCGAAGCTCGGTCGAACAACCACTACCACCACACAGGATGCAAAGGAGATCAAGCTCCATCCATTCTGAAACCATGCCCCGGCTGCCACGACCAACTCAATCCGTGGAAGGACCTGAATACGGTCCTCACTTGACTCCTTGCGCCTCTAGCTTTATTGATCACTGTGAGGTCCTTCAATCGCTGTGACTTCTCCAACAGTTATGCCACGGCAGAACGGCGTCGCACGTCCTCTTTGACTGGGACGCTGAGGTACTCCTCACTGACAGAGAAGCATACGCTCCAGGAGCTGCCGGAACCGAAGCTTCGCCCAGTTGCGCTGAATGGGGGTCGTGTCACATAGTTATATACTAGTAGCAACGGTCCGCTTTTTCCTATATCCAATCGACAGATAAGAACACATTGTTGGTCAGCTTCGTCCAGCTTAGTAAAGCACACGTTCTTTGGTTCACCAAGATGGAAAATCCACAAGTCGTGGCCAAACTGGCAACCAAGTCAGTTCAATGGTTGTTGTGTCCACAGTCAAAACCCTGATGACCCAAGCCGCCCAAGCGAACACTGGTGAACAGTTCAAAACCCGACTAGCAATCACCTGAACAGTGTTTGCAACATCATGCTTGTGGGTCTTTACAGTCACCTGAAGTACAAGTACCTAAGGAAGGAGAGGGTTGCGTAGCCGAAACCTTGGGAGGAACATTGACAGTCGATGTCCTTGTTTGGAGTACTTTTGCGGAAGTTGGTCCCTCCCTTCCTGGGGTTCGGAAGCATGTTTTCGAGCAAGGAGTGGGAAGGGATGCTCCAGAAGCTTGTTTGGAGCCTCAGCGCAGCATGGACAGCTTAGCCTGTCGCCCCATTCAACGAAGGACCAACAGAGGGTGATAGTGATGATCGATGAACAACTGAGAAGCTGCACAAATGAAAGTTGTTCGATCATGTTGTGTTCTAATATAGTTAATCTCCTTTTCGTCTAGTCTTTCCGATGTTTCTGAAAGGCACAACGTGCCATCCGCCTCATGCCACTGCTCGCAAGGTCTCCGGCTACTCAGTGATCAAGGCAGCCGGATGGCTGGTGGCAAGAGTGCAGATGAAACCCCAGAAGGACCCCAACAGCCTTGAGAACGAGGAACACGTTCTTTTTGAAAGATCCAAAGAGTTGTCGAATGAATTTTGGATGGATTCCTGAGGGTTAGTTTGGACATATATGTTTTGAATTTGATTTGCAAACCGACGCATCTGAGTCTTTCCAAGATGTTGCTTGCAAGGCCGCCGGTGTTTGCTTCCAGGGGGCCCTTTGGAATCTTTGGGGTAACGAGTCAGGAGTCAGGGCCTTGCAAGCAGGGCGGTGACCGGCGGTGTGATGCGATATGTGTGGGTGTGTTGATTCGTTCTTTTAAAGAACGCCAGGTGGCCGGGTCGCCGGGTAGCCTCAGGTGGCACGGAATGGGAAGCTCTATGAGCGGAACTTCTGGTTGGCCGGCGGCAGCCTGGAGAGCCCAGACTGAGGGGTGGTGCGAACGGGGCATGGTTCAACGGGTTGAGGGATTTGGGATGGATTTGGGTTTCAAAATTGCACCCGACCCAAGTAATTAGCAGTGTTCTTGGCGTTGCTTTGTTTTTTTCCTTGGGGGTTATGGGAATATGACAGGACATGACCCTCGGTTTTGATCTACAATCCAAAGTCAAAAGGGATCGATTTGCATCCAGAGACTCCTCGACAAAGGGAGCATTGCCTTATTGTTCTAGCCTTAGAACCTGAGTGGCTCATTTTTTGGATCATGAACTCTCCAAGAAATATCAAAATCAGAAGTGGTTCCCATCCTGCGGCAGGTGTCACTGACACTTCTAGGAGTCACTGAAGCCACCACACTGATCCATAGATTCATGTAAGGTCAGCTCCTCCCCTCCCCCCATCTAAACCGCCCCATCTCACGCCGCGCGGTGCACAGCGCGGTGGGTGGGGAACCCACGCCAACCGCGTTCAAAGGCCTCCGCACCAACGGCCGCTTCTCCTCCGGCGTGGCCGGGAGCACCCGGAAGAGACAGGGACGGGCAGAGTTGCGGCCCGTCAGTTGAGGTGGTTGGGGGTGCCCCCGGTCCCTGGGCCCATGGGGTGTGGAACAAAACATCCGGTGGGTCAAAACCCTAGGGCCCGGAACTCGCCCCTGGCAGGTTGACCATGTCCAGTAGTCTGTTCTGCTCATCTTCGGTCGTCGGACCCCCGGTGCTGTGACCCCACATGTCACGCAAGTGGCGACACTGGACAGCTACGAGTTTTGCCGTGTCACACGAGTGAGTCACTCTCTTGTTTGTTGGCTGCACGGTCAAACATGGGGTGGGAGAAGACTCGGCCCGGCCGCTTCTGTAAGGATGTTGTTGGCTCTTCAATTGGAGGTGTGTGGTTTGGATGAATATTTGGCACCCGGGCCACATCCATGAACTTAAAGGAAGAGGGCAAGCAAAAGCTCTCCGGATGTTCACAGCCTCATGTTCAACGAAGTACAAGCTACCAGGTGTCACATGTCGGGGTGGTTCTTGGTCCCCAAGTGAGTGGATCATGGGCACCCCGACTACCTCCAAGCTAGGCACCCCGTCTTGTGACTGCTGGTACAGATTATCGTATGCTGAAGTTTTACTACATGTTGAATGTGACTCGCAGCATGTGTTCGTCTCTTGGAATGCAGCAACAGAAGACGAAAAGAACAAACAGAAAACAGTTTGTAGAACAGTGACATGAAACGTACGGGAGTCTTGCCAACCATCCAATCATTTGGTTTCCTATACCATCCTATACATTAGCATATGATGGCATATGTACATCCTATGGCGGTGAAGTGAAGTGAACCCAGGCAGAAACGGCTCAACTCACATGTGAAGGGAGTGGCAGGACTAAGTCGCAAACAAAAATCTCAGACGATCAATGTGTCGAATGTACAGGCATATACCAGGAGTTCCATGTCAATGTCAGGTGGCATTTCTATTATACCCAGACCATGGGACTGCCATATATGCCGATCAGTTGGGGTGGTTTGGGGGGTCAATGTAGGCATATATGGCATACATGGAGTGTTTGGGATTTATATAGTCTTTAAATATATATATATAGTCATATATAGTCCGCTAGTGATGTATCACCTCTACCGCCTAGAGACCTCGGCTGCGAGCTCCGCTCGGCGTTCCAAACACCGTACCGCTCGTCGGCGGCACCGTCACCGTCGTCCGCCGTCGCAACACGTCTACCGTCGCCTCAGGACTTGAGACAGTCCCTTGGACGCAGTGTGCGCGTCGCGTGACACGCGCGTCGGGACGCGCGTGTCAGGTCGCGCGTCACCCTGAAAGAATCAACAGACCGCAGCGCTTGGCTGGTACACATTGGGTTCTCTTTGACGTGATTGGCTGGTGATGGCTGGTGATGGCTTGAAGCTCAGGTGGTGCTGGCTTCTCATTTTGGGGGTTGAGAAGGAATGAACACGATTTCGATCTTCAGTGTTTCGACACAATTCCACATGATGCTTTGCAATACCTGTCCAACGGATGGTGACCACAATGTGGCGATGACATTTAGTGCCGAAAACATGTGGCACAAAACCGCTTGGCACAATTTGTTTGCTCAAGCTGTTGCCAAACATGAAGGATATTTCAGTACATTAATTATTACATCATATTACCAAATCAAAGGGATACCTGCTCAATGCAAAAATTGGTCTGCAGATGCACACATTTGCATTGTGATCATTCTTAACATCGTCAGTGTTCAGCTGCTTGAAAGGCATACGATATGTATCATCAATGTATCATCATGAGTCATCAAGAAACCTCACCTGTAAACAGTATTACTTCCACCAAGGCCTCTTCCAGCGTTGTTTGTGCTACAGAGAGTTCACTTCCTCGCTTTTTCGTGCACTGATTGCAGCACCATGGCTCTGCCGAACTGGATGGCCTATGCTCTCTACGGCAATGCTGGCTTGGACTTCGCCATCTTCCTCGCACCCACCAGTATCGGGGCGCCCCGGCGAAAGAATCGTCGAATCTGTTCGAGGTGAGTGGCAGTCACTCTGGAAAACGAACTGGCCTGAATAAACAGTTGTTTTTTGTGTTTAGTTTTTGCATTGGTCACGTACTCATTGCGCGCATATTATGTTTTGGTGCGCGTGCTTGCATACACAAGATGGTGTTGTATGGCTCTGGAGTAGAGGAGCAGATAGACTCTGCAGAATTCCAACAACATCCTATGATACTTGAAGTTCCCCCAGCAAATGAAATCTTGGTTCCCAGCAAACGTCGCAGGTGCCGGATATGATTGATGGCAAGTTCAAGTCTTCTGAGGGCCAGATCAAAGAAGCACGGTGGAGATCGAAAATGGCACGGCGTGGGAAATGTTGTTTGTTGTTCGGAGGAAATAAACAAATAACTAGAGAAAATATGAGAAAATGAACATGTAACAAATACAGTAACTAGAGGAAATAGACAAGTTTACCTACATATATAACTACTGTGATCTAATGTGGTTTCCATTGTTTTCTAAATATGTTTTTCCTCGACAAGAGTAAGAATAATTTGTTGGATGTTGATCGAGATCTTTGCAGGAAGAAGCATGTTGAGCTCAGCTTTCCTAGATTCCAGAGAAGCTGGTGTTTGTTTTTCTTGAATGCAAGTGAAACAAGATAAACAACGCAGACGGTGAGTAGTTTATAGTAGTTTATCGTTCACCCCATCCATTAACAATTCAGATGTAAACTCATTGAGCTGTGGTGACGCGTGGTGAACTCAACTTACTTTGCCCACAAGACTTACGTCTTGCTACACTCCCGAAAACTCACATGGACCCTGACGGCTGGAAGATTGATTTCCTATCGAGTGACTCGTCTTCGTGGTTTTCAGATGTTTCCAAGGTTCCATGGTATCGTCTTCCAGGAGAGATGCATTCAAACCTCTTGTCTCTTTCTCCTTCGGCGCACCTCTTCGCTTTCTTCCGTCGTTGCCCGGCCTCTTCCGTCGTACCCAGCCCGGTCTCGAACCGAGGAGATGAAACGCCACTTCTGCAACCTGGGCGGCTTCGCCTTCCTTCTCCACGGCGCCGTTCGCTTTTGCGCCGGGCACTTCCAAAGCAAGGAGCCCGGGAGGCGGAGGGGGGGGCGGGTTGTGGCCCCTGGTGTTGAGGATTCGAGGATGTATATCGAGCACCTGTTCACATGAACTGGTTTTGATCATGATGATCATGTGGTTCGATTCCTTTCTAAGGTTCGATGGGATGGTCACCTGCACAGGTCTTCCTCACCTTCCGGTCGACTCGATGGACTCGATGGACTCGGCGTCGTCGTCCCTCGGTGTGTGGGCTGCTGTGTTTCTGGGAGCTGAGCCACGCCAAGGGAACATATGAGCAGATTCCGTGTCCTTCTTCATAGGTGCTTTTTTTATGTGTACATGAATTCCACACAGCTGGTCTATACTGATATCATTTTGATAAACAGTGATCAGTGATCAGACAACACCATACAATCTCCAGGATTTGTATGAACAAGCAATGTTAGTCCTGGCTCACGAGGATCACCTAGAACACCGCACAGGGTGAAGTCCAGACTCGGAGCCGAACCGGGTCAAAAAGAAGAGAATCCACAGAAGACTCGGATGTCCATGCAAAACAGGAGATGGTGGGCCTGGCCGTGTTCAGCCACTGGGAGAAAGATGTGTTTTTTCAGTGGAGCTGGGTGTGTATTGAATTTAGGTTACTGAGGAACAAAATGACATAGACCCAAGCCCATTGGCTGTGGAGTCTCCCTGTTGAAATACAAACCCAAGTGGTTGTTGGAGTGTTGCTACCATGAGCGTCCATGATCTACTATGATATGATCTACCGCTTCGAAGATGAAGCGCTAGTAATTGATAGTAATTGGTTCCTATTCAGCAGGAATTTGCTGCTCAGACAGACATGTTTCATCATGTTTCATCATGTTTCCATGGCCTCGTTGAGAGCTGGAAGTCCCACCGTCCCACCATTGCATTTGTAGCAAACGGATGTCAGTACAACATGGCACCCACGTGGGGGAACCCAGTTGGTGCGGCCCACACCAGAGGTTGGGTGGCCCACGTGGAACCCACCGACTATTTGTTCGAGCTGAAGCCACCAACCAGTACAGTTTATATGTTATCTTTGATCAAATACAGAAATCACCATTCACCATTTCATCATTTCAGAACAGACGATGAACAGACGATCGAGTTTCCAATGTTTGCTCTCAAGATTGCATGACATGTCTCGAAAATCCAGACACCTTGGGGATAGAACTGGGTAAATGATGCCTATTAAACTATTATGTCAAAGTCATGGGTTTGTAAGCAGCTAGCTCAGAAGATCCAAGTTGGTGTTGAACACGAAGACGAGCAAGATAGGTCTGTGTGTTCCTCTATATATGTGTTTCTTCATGGCACAAGAAAAACCTTCCTTTTGCAAGTTGGTTTACACCTTTCAACAAATACACACAAACACATCACACAGTGTCCTCCCAAAAACAACGGGCAGTGTATTCAGTTTCCGCGGCCTTCTCCGTCTTCAGCGAGCGGGCTGGGCAGCGTTCAGCGTGTGCGTTCAGCGTTGAGGCTACGTGCTGGAAGCTGGCCAATTCGCCCATTACCTGATGCAGGGCACGGCCAAGCCGCAGACGGCCGGTCTGGCGGTGTGCGTGCTCGCCTGGGCCGCCACGGTGGCTTATTGTGGTCTCGGGTGAGTGAGGGGTGGCCCAGGGTTCCAAGCTGAATCATAGTGGATGAATGAGTGAGTCAAGAGTCCAAGAATGTCCGACGATCATGGACACTGTGCATAATTAAGCCCTTTGTACGACAAAATGCTATGCTTTGCCAGCAACTGATGTTAGTTCCACCTCCATTCTCCGAGAACATCTCCCACCGCCTAAAAGATCGTACATCATTCGTCCTGCCTTACCCACCAGAAGGCCAGCACTGTGCTGGCGGGCTGACCGCTGGGCCGCAGATCGCTTCAGGTTTGTCCCATTGCCTGTTTTAGTATGTACCAAAGTTGCTGTCACATGTTGTCACATGTGGTCACTATTTCGAAGTGCAAGTGATGACTATAGTACTGCAACCAGACTCATCATCATCATCATCATCATCATCATCATCATCATCATCATCATCATCATCATCATCATCATCATCATCATCATCATC